ATGAAGGTCTAGGAGTGCCAAGGTTAGGCACCCAAGGAGGTCGACCACCCCTCCTCAAAGAGTACGTTAAGCTTCTGGTGGTCTGCCTGAAGATGACATCAGTTCTCCCAAAAATCTTACAGGCGAAAATGACGGGCATGTCCCTAATGTAATCCTGCCAAGCGTAGGCAAGGCTAAGCCTGTGCTGAACCGTAACAATATGGCGCTTCAGACGCACATTATGCATTGGAAACATCTCCCGTAATTATTAATTATGAAGCGCCCATTTGTGAGGAGCAGATCCCATCACGCCCCTTGAGGACTGATGTAACAGCACAGCAAGAGTATAGGGGGTTCGCATCTGCCCCACGTACTTGCCCCCCAAAAACGTCCCACAAAATCGGATATGCGACGTGTGCAGAACTCATTCCACGCTGTGAATGCACCTCCGTTAATTCCTCTCTTGCCCAAAAGTATTTCTTCTCCCATGCTCCTTCATTCTACTTCGAACTGAAACCTTTGGCGCCGGCCCCCTTTCGTAATCCACTCACCAGAGTTCCGTCGGCCGACGCCGACAGCCATACCGGCAGGAGGTAAGTACTCCGCAAATTTTTTTTATTTTTTATATTTTTGTTGTTTTTTGTCATTTATTTTCTAACATTCACAGATTTGAATCCTGCCGGAGGACAAGATTATATTGCTACTGCTGCACCACCAGTACCGACTTCTGATCCAGTGGTGGAGCAGAGGCAGCGGAGGGAGCGGAAGAAGAGGACGCTGCTGAAGCTGAGAGATCGACCACTGGGAACGCTTGTCAAATATGTTATAGGAGATGGAGAAAAGCACCCACCAGCAGCAACAGCAACAAACTTCTGTTGAATTTCCTTTGCAGTCGTTGCAAACCTCAGGTTCCGTTTGCCAGCCATTAATCGACGACCTCTTATTACATGTACTCTTTCCATATTTCTCTATCTAGGGAAAAGTTTTGAAATGTATGTTATCCCTCTCTCTCTCTCTCATTGTTCGGCAGTTCTTAAGCTCTTAAACAAGACTCCACAAAAATAGAAAAAACCTAAACCCAGTGGGAGCAAACAAAAAAATCGATTTTCTGAGACATCCTTTTTCTTTTTGGGAAATTTTAAACTTATTGCAAATTTTACATGCAGGCGGAAGCCCAAGAAGCTATTATTCAGAATCTTGCGAACCTATGTGATGTGGCGGAGGCTATGTGCAAGGCGTCTGATGAAGGCTTGAAGCAATCTTTCTTCGAACTTTCAATATGGGGCATCCCTGTGGCCTCATGGCCTCTCCATCCGACGAGTGATCTGTTCGAAGTAGAATAGAGTATGGGAGAAGAAACACTTTTGGGCAAAAGAGAAATTAACGGAGGTGCATTTCACGGCGTGAATGTGTTTCGCACGCGTTTCGCTTAATGCGTGTGTGTGTCATGATACGCGTTGCGTTCCAATTTTGTGGGACGTTTTCGAGGGCAAGTATGCGGGGAACCCGAGTACAGGACTCGCCACACTCACGATCGTGGGAGATGTTCTTGAGGCGCCCTCTGTGAGGACAGATCCAGTTTCTAATCAATGGGCCGTAGATATCTGTTTCCGTTTCAATTCCATAGTGGGACCAACCATGTCTATTTCTGATGGTCTGTCTGTGTGTGACGTTGTGCGTACATGGGGACCCACCTCATAAGCCCGGCCCCGAAATGGGTTGAAGCTTTTGCTAGTCTCGCGGCTCGCCATTTGGAATTAGCGGACTGCGGACGTACTACATAAATGGAAAAGGGATATTTCCGGTGATGATAACCTCGACGAGGACGGGCTCCACTCTCTTCACCTCTACCCGGACTCAGAAAATGACGATGACGGAAAAGAACCTAATGGAGATGACATCGATCGAAGATGCCGCTGCTGCTGAAGCAGAAAGCTTCGTTTTGACCTTCCCATCCCATCGGAACTCGGAACCGACTAGTCATGGTTGGTAAGCTTAAGCTCACAAATCTCTTCCATCCAACGGCGACCATTCAGATAATCAGATTCTGAATCTAGGGTTTTTTCTTCGTCTTTGAAGAGGAGGTGGATGCAACCGCTATCTGTTTCTGTTAAACCGATCGGCGATCCGATGAATCTCCAGGTTGATGGCATTGGCAAAAGGAACAGCTCAGGCGGAGCTTACAGCTACAAACTTGCTTCTTCTGCAAGATAATCCCTACCTGTGTTTCTTTCTTTTTTTTTCCCGAGATCGCAGAATGCGCAACATTGAAAAGAAATTCTCCCTCCAAGAAGATTGTTCATTATGTTTAACTTTCGGATAGCTCGGAAATAGGACATTCACAATCTCTATGAGAGTACCTTCAAAAAAAAAAAAATCTCTAAGAGGGCAAAGGAAAGGCAATTTGGACCATCTTCTTTTCCCTCTCGACGTCATTAATGGGGTGCTGATATTACAATAGAATATCTCATGGTCCTCAATAAGGATCTTCTGCACACTTCAAAACATGCTGATCTGCATTTTTTTCTAATATTGTGGATTGAGAACAGAGATCTTGCCTAGTATAGGAAGGTTAAATTGTATATTTGTTGCTACAATGTTCTTTATGTTTCATGAGCTTTTCTCTTCAGCGGTTGGGTGGGGAGCTTTCCTACTGCAGGAAGGCTGTTTGGTTTTCTGTGACGGTCTCTACACTGCATTAAATGTCAAAAAAAGGGAAGGCCAAAAGCTGGTCCTGGGGATGACTTTTTCTCCACCTGCCATTTCTAGTGACATTTTAAATTCAGAAATGAGTTGCATACTCAATCTAGCACATGCTAGTGTGGAAATTTTGTTCTAGTTCATGGCACTCATTTTCTTTAAGAAATCAACCCATGTTTTAATGCAGTATCTCAAGCATTCCTCTTTTATGATTGAGCCCTTTGGGTTTCTAGATAATCGAGTTACCTTTTAATCTTTCAATTGAGTCAAGATGGTTTGATGAGCTTCAAGATTCAATACATTTGTAAATAATACTTAAGAAACTAATATTGATTCTCAAACATCTATGTTTCCCATACAAGTCAGGATGATGCTCAAGTGTTGGATCAGATAGATGTAAAAGCCCAATTGCAGTTGCATATAGATTGACTCTCAAACAGCTATGTTTCTGATATAAGTGAGGGGATGCTCAAGTGTTGGGTCAGATAGATGTAAAGGCCCAATTGTAGCTGCATATAGATTGTATTGATTCTGGCATGTCTTTTATTCTTTATTTGATTGTTGATATTGTTGATCTCTTGACTGTTTTAGGTCAAGATATAGTACACCTTTTCATATTTCTCCTATTAATTTGCTTGCAGGTTTTATTAATCCTGATTTAGTGAATTAAATATGGTTGCTTCTAGATTCTGATAAAGTACCTGGAAACTTACACAGTCAAATTTACAATTTTTTTGGCATTTCAACCAATTTGTAAAATTTGCCTACTGTAACTTCTACTAAAGCTTTCAGTCATATTTGTTCATTTCTTTCTATTAAAATGAAATAATTTTGATGAATGATTCGTGTAGCTGACTGCATATAGTTAAGACTTAAGACAAGGCTTAGATGATGATGATAATTGTTATCCCCAACTCCCTTCTCTTTTTCAGGCTGGATTTACTCTGAATCTACTAGTTGCTAGATTGATCTTAATCATGCCAAGTTAGAGGTGACATTAGTATCTATGATAAGGATTTGCAATTCATGTGGAGAAAATAGATGTGCTTGTAAAATTAATATCTCATACTAGTAACCTGAAAAATGACATGGAACACATGAAATCTTGTTCTTTCTGATGTATATTCTTGGAGGACATATTGATATGTTGAAGTCTTTGCCTATCAAATAGCTGGGTACTTGTAAAACCTTTTCTATTAGTTTGTAAAGTAGTATGATATGTTGAAATTCGTAGAGGACATATTTATATGTTGAAGTCAAGTTATTTGTCCGTTAGTGTGTGAAGTAGTTCTTTTAAAGACAAGCTATAAAACCTTTTCTTTTCATTTTTTTTTTCAGGTGTACTCAACTCTCTCAGAACTCAGTGCAGGTCTGGTGCTAACCTTTAGTTTCCTATCATTTGATACACGACTCAAATGATTCTGATCAGTGTTGTAACTTGTAAGACTCTGACTGGACTGGATGGTTGAACCATGACCCAGTGACCTTTTCTGGTCCCGGTTAAATAACAGTTTTCACAATTTGAATGGTTTGATATCCAGTCTGAGCCTTACAATATTGGTTCTGATATTATAATGCATATATGTGGGTCCCCCTTTGTGTGGCTTTCATTGACTGGTACCTCCCTTGTAAATCTTTAGTTCATGAGGCATAATTCTGACAAGATAATTTCAATGTTGGCAATATTGCCTACCAATTCAGAGTGGTAGAAAGCCCGAGGATAGAATTGTTTAAGTTTTTATCACCCAGTGCTATCAAGTGTTACCAGATTTAGAGTTTGAAATCCAATCTGATTAAACCAGATTTGGATCCCAAAAAGTTTACCCATTTATAATCAGATCATATATGATTTCACCCCAATCTAATCTGATTAAGATCCAAGTTTGACAATATTAGTATACATATGCTTACATAAAATAAACATATGTTCATTGACAAGGTTGGTTTAAATATCATATTTTCATTGTAGGCTCATAAATTCAAATCTCATGGAATTTATATTTGGTAATTTGGTAATATTTAGTTTGATTTTAATGACTACATCACTTTAATCTGTTTTATTAATGAAAATCCAACCAAAATACAATGGATAAAATCCAATTTCAATCCAAATATTAATAGTTTCCAGCCTTGGTTTCATATCCAACTGTTTGAATTATTTCAAAGTTGAAGATATTGTATCTGATGTAGTGCGATCTAACTATTCCCAGTTGGAGGGTGATCTAGCTTCCAATCGAACAGCGAGCTAGATGAATCTGCAAGATAGTGGATCAGAGAACTCGGGGTGGCTAACCCGGCGAGGTCGCTCCGATGCTTAAGTTAGTGTACTGTGGTGCGAGCTGAATGCTTTGAGAATTTGAGAGCTTGAGAGCTAGAGAGTAGAGTGATAATGCGTACCTAGGCCCTGGAAGGGTTGTTGCTCTTATATAGCTGAGCTCCTACAGATTTCACAGAACAGTTCTGGGATCTTCGGCCTGAGGGGATGAGATTCATTTTCGCTTTAATCAAGGAGTAATGTATCAATCAATAAAATCTATCGTTTTCGCCCGATCTGGGCAGGGAGAAGATAAGGCATGCCATTATGTGGCGTGATCTCGTGAGGTTCGGAGTCTACTAGAGAAACTTTCGGAGTCGTTACGTGGCAGTTCGGGCTGTTAGCCCTGTGCTGATACCTCGGTTCTTTAGTTCCAAACTGGATTGAATGACGAGGTGACCGAACGCCCGAGCTCAAACGTAGCGAAATAGGCTTGCCAAGCTGAGCTGTTATCCCTCAGTCAGGTCGTGTCCACGTGTCCCCTTTTTGCTAGGTCGCGCCAAATCACCATTCATCAATATCATCCCTTTTTTAACGCAGATTTACCATTTATCAAGAAGGCCTATAAAAGCATCCATAAGATGCCTGTTAGGACTTGCAAAGCTCTTCAGAAATATTGTTTGTCACATAGGCAGCTTGTGCCGTAAAATATAGTGTTTGAACTTCGCATGTATTTTGTTCTGTGGGTGTTTCATCATAGGTGTTTATCAAAACGCCGCCATATCATTGCCAAATCATCATTTTTCCCATCATATTCATTCATATGTATTGATATTCACGAAAGTGGATTTTGATTTATGTGCACACTAACCGTTGGGATAAGCTTCATATTAACACTTCCCCCAACGATTAAATGTTCATTCACTATTCTGTTGATGTGGCACCTAATAGCGCCCAGTGGTGTCTAGTTGTCCATAAATATTTTTTGAAATACTTTTCTCAATTTTAAAGACAAATTAAGTACAAACATTTATTTAATCAATGGAAGCTATACCAAATACATACTTCAAGGTGTGGCAAATGGCCAAACTCATTTCTTAACATAGAATTAAGGAATGGAATGTATGATAAGGTTCAACTCCAGTGTTTGGATCATTTACATTGAAAAACAATGATACTAATAAATAAATAGACACATATTATTGACAATTGCTTCTTCTAGCAAAATAGAAGAAGTGTGGCAAAAGGGTTTGGCATGGGTTATAGCCTTATAGGTAGGAATTTCATATATGACAGCTTTAGCAAGTGTTTGGCGTTGATGTGTTGCTTCAAGCCATTTTCTGAGAAAACGGTGTTTTATCTGCTGCACCGCTTTTAAGAAAATGGCTTTTATTTATTTATTTATTTTGTTTAACATTGGTGCGATGTTTTCTAGGAAAAGGCACATGTTTTATTTGGTATCAATGCTCTATAATTGTTTTCAGCATTGGCCCACAACTCCACATATTTAATATTTTACATGATGCCAATTGATGCCATGTCATCATATTGTTGGCAGCAACAGTTACGAAAATGAGAAAACGCCAAATTTAACATTTTTTCAAACCACGCTTTTCCAAATTCTTAGGTGTGGCTGTTTTTTGGAGCAACGGTTCTAAACAGGGCTATATTTCTTGACACACCGTTTTTTTCTGATGTGGCACAGACATGGAGCCGTTTTCTGAAGCAACGGCATCGATGTCAAACATCGCCTTAATTTCAGCTCAATCCATAGCATCTGACCTTCTGGTAAAAGGCTAAGAACTCTCTTTTCTTCTGTCAGCATTTCTTAAATAATGAATACAGATTGACAAGAGCTGGCCAGCTTGGTGGAGCACATGGCCGATCAAGTCTTCACCTGGCTAAAATCAGAGCTATAAGTTGGGTTGCCCCATTTGAGGAATTTACAAGTTGCTATTTGCTTTCTGGGCGTTTGGCTTCCAGCAGCAGCTGCTAGCCTGCTATCAAGCAAACAAAGCAAAAGTTTATTCAAACACCACACCGCTTCCAAGTTCCAACTACAACGATAAACACCTCCATACATCAATTTTTATAATTGTAAATAGGGTCTCTTCTGTAGTTTTGCCCCCTATGAATGACGCTGGCGGGCGATCCATAACCCGTCAAAACTCAAAACTCTAGAAAACGGTACTTTTTCACACTTTCAGTGCCAAATTCTCATGAGATAAGCTTGCGCCGTTGGATAACTTTTTTTTCCTTGTTTTTTCTCTTTCTTTTTGTATTTTTCCTTTTGGAGTGATGTTCAGATGAGTAAACATCTATACGTGGTACTCGTAAAAATGTCGTATTGATTTGATTTTGGCCCCTTTCAGTCTGTTACTGCTAGATCTGGTAAGTGATAGTTGCACTTGTAGTTTGCGAGTGTCAACAGAAGGGAAGCAGGGGAACTAGCCAGTACTCAGTACTCGGTAGTCGGTACCCGTTTGGAGGACTCTCCGATAGTTGCTTTCGGATTTTGTCGGTGTCAAAATAAGCCAATTTCTCCATTGTTAACTGTTGAGTGATCCATCGAACAATCGAACTTTATCAAATCAAATATGGAATATGGAATATGGAATATGGATCTACCTTCGATCCGATCTAAACATTCAAGATTTGCACTTGTATGTTTTTTCCCTCTCAATCCTGTGTTCATTTCTCTCTTGCATGATGTAAATGCACATGCCGTTTGACTAGTTCTACGGCATTAAAATCTCATAAAAAATGTTTTTCATGTCATTTTATTAGATACCTGAATCTGATCCAAGTCTGATCTAAATCCCATGGGACCAAAAAAAATGGATCTAGGTATATTCAATCGGATCCTATCCGCAGCCACCATAAATAATGTTATACAGTAAAAGGGTATTATGGTTATTTAGAAAATAAAAATAAGAAGTATAGCAATATAATATTTGAACTGTAGAGCACACCCACACTCACAGTCACAGGCCATATCCAATAAAGATTGACAGACACCCTAAATGCAATGGCCGGGCGAAGGAATTTGGAATGGACTCTCAAATTAATCTGCCAGGGGGAAAATTGGGACATGGATGATGAATCATGGCCTGGGACAACCGGGTAACTCGGTAGTAGCTAGCCCCAGTAGCCAGAGTAGCCACTAGAGTTGGGGTTGGGAGCTTCTGGTTAAGGGCATTTTGGTCATTCAGCAATTATCATACGTAACGTACGTCAGTGTTTAATAAAGTATTTACTCATGCTCATGCACACATTACCATTCAGGCAATCAGGTGTGGTGGTGTATGGGTATGGCCTATGGGGGGGTATGAGGTTTGACGGTCAACTAAAAACTGTCACACTCACTCACGCACCAGCACGGCACCACGTCAAAAAGGTCCCTCTCCTCTCCTGTCCCAAGCTGCCGGGTCCGGATTGCTGGGCCAGTTGGTACACCAACGGTCCTTTCTTCGGATTCGTACACGGTACACCAAGCTCTCTCTGTCTCTGCCTCTGGCCCTTTTGAATTTTGGCTGCCCTTACACATGTATCATGTATGTAGTGGTGTGGTACTTTTGACGCCACTACCCCTGTGAAGTGTGAACTGGCCGCCGGCGGCCCACAGCACAGTCACAACCGCGCCAGCCACATATGACATACATTACATTACATAACAAGCGACAAGCGACAAGCGATGCGAACGACCCTGTTTCTGTTTGTACTTTGTGTACGTACCAGCCACCACTCACCATTACATAACAAGCGACAAGCGATGCGAACGACCCGACGGGCTGGCCCAGCCCGACCCTCAGACGGGCTTGAACATGCAAATGAGCCTGTGGGCTTAATCTCGGGTTAAAAAGCTTGGCCTGCAATAAATTCGAGCCGGGCTTGGGATTTGTCAAAGTAGCCCGATTCGATCCGACCTATTGACTAAACCCAAAAACTCAAATATCCTAAGTAACCCTTCTCATTCATCTATTTCCACATTTCCCGTTAGTCGAACTGCCCAGTGTCGAACCTCTCTTCTCTTCACATCCTCCTCACTCTCAAGTAGTCGTAGAGCCGGCGAACATTCGCCGGCGCAACAACTCCGGCAGACCGACGATGAGTCTTCTCTCTCTCTCTCTCTCTTACACACACACACACAAAAACGCAAAATCAGCACCGACGAACATAATCAACGGTGGTGAGTTCTTTCTTCTATTAAGTCAGGCTTTGGGCTCAGGCCCGGGCTTTGGGCTTTTTATTAGGGCCAGACTCGGGCCCATGTTATAGGCTCATTGGTTGGACCGGGCATACCAAAATCATGTTTATAAAGAGTAAAAGCCCGGCCCATGAAAAGTTCTACTCACCAGCTTATCTATACTATATATGCCCTATTTTGAAAGAGCTCTCTGAACTCTCCGACTTTGAGGGAGGTCGGGCCTCACTCAGCTTCAGCTCTATGCCTCTATCTATTCTAAATGGTAATGCCTAATGGTAGTAATTGGATATGGATAGGCTTGGATAGGGATGGCCGGTCCCGCTCTGCGCTGTTGCCACCATTTCCAGGGCCTTGCCAACCTGGCATGGTTAATGCAGTCATTTCATAAATAAAAGAAAAAGCACTAGGGCCTTTTTCGTAAATTACCTGCACATGTCATGTACACACATGTCACATGTAACATATTCCTTCCTTCCTTCTTTTCTTTTGCAGTTCGCACTACAGGCTACGGCCTAAAATGCTGCTTCTCTTCGTCAATCGTCACCCTACCTACTCTACCCACCTTTATTCTATAAACCCAAACGATTTATTTGGAAATTTTTTGCACTGTTTGTTTGTTTTGTTTGCTACTCTTCTCCTCCTCAACTCCTCCTAACTTCTAAAATAGTAACGGTACTACTACTACTAATATAAGGCTCTCTCCGCGCCGAGCACAAAACAACGACCAGCCAACCATATTTCCCAACTCCGGCAAAAGACTAAAAGACCAGGCCCGCTTCTCACTCACCTCAGCTGCTTTCCTTCCCGCCTAAATCGGCGATCCTATACGCTTTCCTTAATAATCGCCAAAACCATACTCCCTCTGTAATCGTCTCTGCTGC